ATAGGGCCTTCACGAAACAATTTTACACGGGCCTCCAAGTTCCACCACTGCATTTCACAATAGATACTTTTACTTTAAAATAAAAATTAAGCTAGTTTTACTTATTCTGCGTGAGCATTATTTTTGTATGCTACTCGGTAGTTGGGCTGAGACAGTAGATGCGGGTATAAGGTCCTCTTCTCAGAAGCTTGTTTCTTGTCGAACTCGTTTCCGAAATGTTCATACCTCCGCCGGACTCTCTGTGTTTAAGTACGATTTAAGATTAATGGATTATGATTGCTTACAGGTATACTTTAAATTACCTATAAAAGTGGTTGCACCAGTTTCAACTATCCTTTTTTATTTATTACATTTTTGATTTTTTTGACTAAAAAGTAAAGAATTTGAATTCAAATAATAGGTATATGTATAAATAAAAATAATAAATAAATTATTAATGAAAAAAAAAATTGTTAAGGGGGAGATTTATCCACCACTGTTCGGAAGACAAGACGACACGTGTTTCCTATTATTCTAATTATTATTACAGATACAACGTTCAATACACATCGTTAAGAAATACAAATTTTCCATTTACGTAAGAAAAAATTACATTTTCCAATATGGAATACTGTTCTTATACGTCTTAGGACATTCCATATCGTACGTGAAAGTTCAACACTCGGGACCTTCTAAGTAGGATCGTTGACAAAGAAGCCATTTATCACGCTTCCATCTCCAAATTTTCTTTCACAGATCTTCAGGAAGGACTTGGAGATACTACACCTTAGTTAACCGAACGCAGCCTGATATAATTCGCATCGTCTCATTTAGTTCAACATCGTTTTTCTTCGTATGACTACTTTCCCCCCATTCTGAGGCACAGTATTCTGCAGCGCTATATAAACTAAAGCTAAGGCAAAAGTAGAAGGAGTACATTTGCCCCATACTCCTATTTTGTTCCGGCTAGCTTACTAATAATATAATACTGTTTCTTGTTTTAAACTTTTTTTTTACTTTCTTTAGATGTTGGTTGAAGGTCTACATTCTGTTTTGATTTCTAAGTATTTCGGGGTGTCTTTTCCCTTTATATTGACTACCTAAGATCATAAGTTGAGTTTTCTGTTTAATTCCGTGTTATTTAAGTGGAACGCAGCGGAAGTAGTTTTGTTAAGGTTGAGTCTTTGGTGCCACAATTTAAAATATTTTTGAACAATGGACAGATTGTTCAGTATCTCTTCCAATTTTTCAAAAGTTTCGGTTTGAGCTACTAATCCCACATCACCTGCATATAAAAATTGACGTGATTTTGTGTTTATTAGATCGGATTTATAGCTTGGGGTGAGTCTCTTGGTCTGTTTATGAATTTCCCTAAATGTATTGCTTCCACATTCGCTAATAATCCTTCCCTACCAAATAAATAAAGGCTTATAAAACTAGTTGTATACTTCATTCGTGATCTTTGTTTTATCTTCATACCAAATCTCTTCCCAATCAAACACATTGAGAAAAAATGTTGCCAAGCTCTAAAGCTCTTGGGCTATTCCCTCCGGATCTCACGTGATTTCTAATCAATACCACTCCTCAAGGCGATCTACCGTGCTCATGTTTGCTCTTTAATTTAGTAGGGATGTCATATGGGATCCCCTACTGTTTATGCAAGCTTAATGATTGAGTGGGTGTAGAGACGAAGCGTCTCTTTGAGCCCTACTTTTTAGGCTAAACGTTCCTCACCAACGCTATGATTACTCCCCAATTCAAAGTCTTCTACAGCTCTCAAGTCTGGCTGATCACAGACGAGCTTATAATCTCTCTTTTCACTCAAATGTCCTAACAGGTTAAACTGATTTCCCTAATTTCCAATCTTAAATCTTCTTCAAAGCCCCCCTTTCTCGTTTTATTCGATCTTCTATCTATTTTTATATCCCTTTCTTCTTCTGCTAATTTCTTTACAAACTCTTCTATTTTCCGGTTCATGCGCACTGTAAACCCCACTCCTCTTTTGAACTCCAGTATATATAATTATTTTCACCCAACAGTCAACGAGGTGAAGTCATTTCAATCCTAATAATTAATACTTTTCAAGATATCATAATGATCATATCTTTGTGGGATACCTTTAATGTACAATAATATTATATTCGTGCTCATCGCAGTAAGTAAAGTCCAACCTCTCTCAATGTAATCGTATAGCAAAGTTGTAACTGAAAACGAATGTCAGTATATTTTTATATTTTATTACGTTATTTGTAAAATGGGATGGAGGAGATTTTGAACTATATACTTTCGTGAAAAGTTTCTGTGGGCAACTGTCGTAGTTATAAACTCAAGATACTACTAAAAAAAAAAAAAAAAAAAAAATAATAAAAAAATAAAAATGACATTTGTCTCGAGGTGTACGCAATTTTCGCCCCCTTTGCTCGGAGCCGCGAGTATACCCACCGCTATATACTATTTTCATGTCGCCACTTTTTACCTCGGCCGATCCGACGAGACGACGTTGACAGTGACAGTCTCGTGTATACATAACACACACACACACATATATACATATATATATAAGCCTGTACATCTTTGTATATAAGTTAAAAATAATGAAAGGGGCGTGGCCGGGCGAAACCAGCCAACAGTGTCGAAGTCATTATTCACACCCTGCCCTTCGCGGACGAATTTAAATGCGACTCCGTCACCCTTCCACTCACCTATCCGCTCCCGAGTAGCGCGCGCCCGTAAGATCCAATTTCTTACACGTATATATATATATATATATATACACACCACTCCCCTCCCCCACAGCGCGTGTCACGTCCCTCTTATCGCTCGGTTCTTTCGTCGACGACGCCGCCGTCATCGCGTCTCCGCGGCGCAGTCCCTTATTCCGACCTTACCATTTATTGACGTGTATGTATATACATTCCCTCTCGATATATATATATATGTATATACAAGTTTTTTTTTTTTATACCACCGTCGTCCGGCCTTTACAGTCGGCCCTTTCTCGCCGCAAACGGCCGCAGCTGCGGCGGCATCATCGCGCCGCATCATCCGCGCGCGGTGTCCCGGGCCGAATCTGTATGCGGCCAGAGCGTTCGAAAAACGACTGCGAAATTCAGTTATCGGCCCGTGACGATGTCAGCTGTATATTGTAATACGTATATCCGTTTATTCAAAATTATTATGTATCGTTTAGATACAGAGTGTAACACGCAGATGTGCCGTTTGAAATAACATTTGTTCGACATTTCGTGACACTACGCGTGTGTAGGTTCGTTAACCGTAAAATAATAATAACAATAATTAAAATAATAGTCGGTATTCCGGGTAATATACTGGAATGAGAGTATATACACACGTCGAGCCTATTTTCAAAATTTTGAACCGTTTCGGTGCTTGTCGCTTAACGCACATTTTTTTCAGTATGGAAACGTCCATCGTCATATTTGAATACTATACTACTATTAAAATTTTTGTTTCTTTTTTTTTTTTTTTTTGTTCATAGAACTTTATTTAATACAATTTTTTGGATTCTGGGGTTTTTGGTTTGCCTGGCTGACATTTTTTGAATGGCTTTTTTAAACGGTTCTTGAATAAAATACAACAAAATTAAAATTAAAAAAATATAATAAAATTCAACTTGTTAAAAAATGGTTGTCAAAAATATAACATTCAAGTCGAATAAAGATTCGACTATAATAATGAATTTTGTGTTTTTTGGTAAACCAAAATGTTTTACTTTTATAGACCATAAAGATAAAATTAATAATGTTGATAGTCAGGCGCGTGTTTAAGGGGTTGTTTTAGGGGTTGACCCCCCTACCCATCGAAATTTCATGAAAATTATGATGAAACAAGTAGATTTCTAATAGTAGAGTCTCAAAAGTGGTCTCGGTCAATGAAGAAGGATAGGGATTTTATCCTTATAAATACAATTTTTGTTTTATTTTTATTTTATTAATATATAGTAGATATTGATGTTATTGTCATTTGTCATTTCTAATTTTTTTTGTGATTTTCCTATTTTTAGACAATTATAACTGATACGGGGATACTATTGCATAGTATCAATACTACAATATCATCACAATAATATGAATGACGTTATTATTTATGTTATCAACAGGTATCCTAAAAGACCAAAATCGACTGTTATAAAATATTGACCTTTTTATTGAAAAATGAATAATCCTATAGTTGAAAGTATATACCTAAACCTTTTTGTTATAAGAGTATGATAGTATACAACCTTAACTCCCCTCCCCTCTGAAATAAATTTTTTTATAAACATACCTGTTTATAGTTATTAACAGATGCGCAAGGATACAAACATTATCTTTTAAAGGAAGTAGAATGGGGGGGGGGGTTAAATTTTAACCCCAACTTTCAAAATTGTATATTTCAGAAGTGCTTGCGTATAAACGATGTAATTAAAAGTATAAACCATCACAAACGAAGACAAACGAATGAAGTTAATTCTTTTTGTATATTCCAAAAGGGAGGAAACCGAATTCTTTTTTCTATCCAAAATATTGTTCCAATAAAAAAGCGGCAAGTGACTTTTTTTTGTAATTTTAATTTTTTTAAATAATTGGGAAAAAAACTGTACAATTTATTATATTTATGGTTTTATTATTATTATTATTATTTTTTTTTTTTTGTTATAAAAATCGTTTAGAAATAATTCAGGAAAACTGAGAAAACGTATAAACAGAGAAATTACTTCATTTAAATAACTAAGGTGACTGGTTACTACTAAAAATAATAAATGTATAGGTAATATATATAGTAACCTAGTAACTTACCCAGTAACTTTCAATTGGAATATTGTTAGAACGCGAATAAAAAAAATATAATTTTACAAAAAAATCAATTTATTATTCTAATTTATTTTGTAATATTTTTGTACATTTTTGTCAATGCTGTATACGGTGTAACTGATGCTATGCTCATACACTCGTCTTTCACATCGCCATGCGACGGTAATTGGTTTGCGAGTCCCCGACATGTGCGCATTCGCTCTCCACATGGTGGAAGATCTGATCGTGAAGGACTCCGCCGATAACGCCATCGGCCCGGACCTCCTGATGGTAGCAGGCACCCTCAAGTTTTTCGAGGAGGCACTCTTCAGTCTCGTCGCTGGACACCAGCCTTTTGCGGACGAGGTTCCAGTGCTGACCGAGAGCCCATCTAGCACTCCAATCGAGGTCGACCTTCCAAAAAATTTGGCCGTCAACAGGAAAACGAAAGGAAAAACGAGTACTAGGTAAGAACCAGCAGACAGCAAAGACACAAAGACCTCCCAACTCTTTGTCACTCTCAGCGAAACCTACGGGCAAGGATACGCTCTTTATAACCTTACAACCTGACGTGCTTCCACCAACTCCTCAGCGGGGGGTAGTGGCTTGGAAAACCGTCATGGGTCGCAAAAATAGAGTACCTAAGCATTCTGCGGAGAAAGTTAACTCGACCTTGGTGGGCAAAACCCGCGAACGCGTCAGGCTTCCGAGACCCAGTTCGGCTACAGCTGTTCTGATCAAGGTCGCCGAAGGATCCTCCTACGCTGACACCGTCAGTGCGGTGTTAAGGGGTTCTTAACACATAGACACATATAATAATTTTAATAATTAAGAGAAACAAAGAAACAAAAATTATATAAGTCTTGGTGCTCTTCGAAATGTACTCGTACTTACAGACGTACTCACTCTTTTCAACACATATAATTCATATAAGTATACTATTATATATACGTTATGATAGGTAGTATAATTTTGTTTTGAACTGCCTACTTATTCAAAAATCTGATTATATTCCATTAATAATTTGTATTTTCAAATTTTCCTTAACATACCAGTATTTAGTAATAGTAATAACGTTCTTGTTACTATATTTATTCTGTTATTAATTACATAATCTATTTTTTTTTGTTTATGTTATGCTTGATCTAAGTGTTATTGGAGATGGCAACGTTATAAAGTCTACTTTTATTAATACTGGCGATAAGTATGTAGCAGATAAAAATCACTAACACAGTTAATAGTGTTAACCACGCTTAATAAATTATATCACCTAAAAAAAGACTAATAAGAGGTTTAAGTATTTTCTTTAGGATAATTTCATTTCATTTCATTTATAACATGGAAATTAGAAATTGTACAGTCCCAATTTGTCTTAAAAATGTCTATAAATTGACGATGGTGACGATGTTGCGCTTCGTGCGTCGGATCTCGGCCGAGGACTTGTTCCTGCCGGGGTCCTTTTTCTCTCTTAAGGTGAGGAGATTTCCTAGAGATGTACACGCTAAGAGTAAGGCAGCGTTAGCTGAAACGGTGCGGTTCTCTGCGCTTTGATCATTTCGCAATATTGGTCGTGTGATCAGCCCACTGATACCACATGGTGATCATGATTTAAACAAATTTCACTGAGGCGTTACTTTAGAGAGGTTGTTTTTCGATTTTCTTCAGTTTTCTCAGCAAATGTGAAAACCTGGGACACACGTATTAAAACCGGGCAAATCGGTACAACAAATATAATTAAAGAAAATACGTAGGGTCTACTTAATTATATTACTATAGTCTGGTACATGAAATTACCTATAACAATGACTGCACCCGACCCAATTATCCTAGGACGTCTTTTTTGTATTTAAGTGTATTGAAGATGTCTGCTTGTGATTTACTTTTGTTGACTAAAATTTCGATTTCATATACCTACCATGCCTTTGAAAAAGTTTTCTGTATTTGTTTAACTGCAGGAAGGAAAATTGTAAAATAAAATGGGATAAAAAGTATATAAAATAATATAGTAACAATTAAAATATGAAAACTTAATGAAAATTGATTATAATAAAAAGTATACACAATAATACGTATACACATACTTCATATATAAAGATGGTAAAAATATAAGAAAAACGTTCCAGTACAAAAATATAAATTTATGTATATTTTAATAAAATAAAATAATATTTTCTTTCAATAGGAGTTAAACTGTGTGCGGGTTTTGGTCTCGGCAACCATATTTAAGAAAACAAATTCATGATTCATGATAACGCGAATTCATCTGATAGCGGATTTTCGTGCTATCAGTGTTTTGTTTGAAAAGCCCCTCACTCTGATTATAATAATGTTACAATTCAATTTTTTTAATATAATATGGTCACCAGGACAACGTTTCGCGAAAATTAAATTCAAATTTTTCTGCAAATTACGAAATAATATGGTTGATTGTCCCGGATTACTGGACAATAATATCAATTTTAAAATTAATCTTACATACCGCGACGATCCCTTAATTTATTTTACACAAAACAATCGACTATACGAATTATATGCGAAATTCTCCAACCGATATTTTAATCGTCTGCAGGACTTTATTTAGTAAATCTTTAAATGTTTTTACGGCAAATGTTCTGAGAAACATATACAATGAATAATAATTTTTCTATGTATTCCTTCATTACATTTTTTATATTCAGTCGCGTTTTACATTTTGACTGTGATGTACACCCAATGATGAATTTTTAATTAGAAACCGGCCGTATAATACACTTATCATAATATTCCAGGTGACGTATTCAGTATTTTTTTTATTTTTTTTTATTTTCATACACGCATTTTTTATTTACTATATTGATTTACGAGCATTAACCGTTTTAGTGATTTCGTTTTTTACATTATCGTTTTATTATTGAATAACGATTAAAAGCATACCTAATGAATGTATATGGTTTCATTTTACTTTGTCCTTTCTTTTATAAATGTAGATAATATTCTCATGTACTGTATTGATAGATGATATATGTACCTCTATTCGTTATATTATTTTTAAAATTACTGTCGTTGCTACGTATCATTTTAAATTACTGATACAGGCACGACGCGTAAAAATAATATGTATGTATGTATATGAAAAAAAAAAAAAAATTGCGTAATTGGAATTTATTTCAGTAATAAAGAGATATCATTATCATTATTATCATTATTATCTATATATATACGCACGCAAATGTAGATCGTAAACGGTTGTTCATACCTCACGTACGCGACACACGATTACCTGCTGCATACCTGCTGTACTGCACGCAGTCGCGCGTATCGAAATACGTTTTTCGCGTTAGAATTCGAGAGCACGTAAACCCAACGGCCCCCGAAGCGAACGCCGTAACCCGTACGGATCAACCCCCTCGACACCTCACCGCCGCCGCCGCCGCCCCCCCTCCCCCCTCCACCACCTCCCTTCCCCTCCCTTCCCTTCCCTTCCATTCCCTTCCATTCCATTCCGCCGACCCCGTCGCGCGTTGTCGTCGTCGCGTTAAACGCGAACGACCCCCGGACCGAATTTCCCGCGACCGCGCTACAAACACACCGCCGCAAACAGCAGCAGTATAAGTACGCCGTAATATTATATTTCGTTTATGCGCTCGCCGCGCCGTACCCCGGACCCGTCCCGCGTGCACTGCCGTCGCCGTTGCCGTCCGTTCGCCGTTACGCTGTCCGCGATGGTACGCGACGCGGACAATAAATATCGCACGGCGATTGTATTGTGTTCTCGTAGCGTACCGGCGTCCGGATTTTCATGTTCGAACAGTATGCTCTGAACACGGCGCTCGTATCGTGAACGGTGTTCTATATTTTTTTTTTTTTTCCCGGTTAACCTTTAAACCTACGAATAATATTCTACCCGTTATATCGGAAAAATTATACGAAAACGATCGATTTTCACACGCTCGCAAAAACTGCACGTTATATACGAGTACACTCGGCGATTTATAAAAGCATAAAAATCCGAACATCGCCATAAACGATAGTCGTTGGCGCGATCGCCATCCGCGTGCGAACATTTCCTTTGATGAAGTTTATAAAAATTACCGCAGTCTGAAATTCATTTAAGAGCGCATTGTACTCCCATTATACTATAACGGGTATAGTGGACATCAAGATCTCAGGAACGCAACGGTACCATTTTCCCTCCGACGTCGCGGGTCGAAAATTCGATTTATTAGGAATTTTTCCGTAACTGCAGTTACGTAGCCACCGACAGTATACTCAAAAAAATTCACAGAAAATCGAAAAAGCGTCAGTTTTTTTTTCTCGAAACGTATATGCATACGTATAATTTATAATAACGAGACAATTTGTACACATAACAATGTTTTATTTCAATTTTTTGTAGGATTTCGGTCGGGGCTGTCAAATTTCGTTGATACTGCGAGATTTTCGCACGAATATACCATCGCCTAAATTTCGGTACGATGTGCACGGGGACGAACTTGCCGGTCGCGTGAAATTGTGTCTGATATGGCTACACGTTTTGTCTACAATATCCATATCTACACTACCGGTACAACCCGGAAATTTCACCCAGACATCGTGTTCTTCAGTCCTGTCCGCGATACCGGGAAGATGCGGTAATCCCCTGGAATGTGCCGCCGCTTCTATTCTGGGCAACGCGTATGCGTTCCTCGATTGTTCCCCGGGTCGTTTACCCCGGGCAATTCCGTTTTATCTGGTTCCTCGGCCGGTTCCATCGCTCGGTCTTCGGTCTGCTGTCTTTTCCTGCGCCTCGGCGGTGCTATTTCAATCGCGTCAACAACAGGTGCCCTTCTCCGGGGTGTCGGGCCTGAGGACGGATTATCCGGATGTCCGTTTTCGACCGTCACCCAGTCGATCGCGTCTAGTGTCACTTTGGCGGGCGTAAATAGCGATCAATCATCACCTTCGAATTCGCCAGTTATTACGCATTGCGTTATGCGGTAGGGAATCCGTCTCCGTGAACTCGTGAACGTTTCGGCGTTCAACCGACACCCTTTGAAAATAGTCTAAAAATTGGAAAATATTCCAAAAATCAGAATTTCATATTTTACATAAATTAATAAAATATTACCGCAATAAGGGATTTTGTTTCTTTCAACCAATAAGCTACGAAGTTCGCTACATCTTTGTACGGAGGGTTGGCAACGAAAATGACCCGGAAATAACTTTTGTTTTTATTTTAAGCCGTTGGTATACATAAAAATGTCATTTGGTGTGACGTTATATGTCAGTTTATTAGTAAATTGAGCCGTGAATCACGATCGCTCTAGAGTTTTTTTTTTGAAGTGTATCTATACAATTTTAATTATTTAACATTAATAATAAACACGTAACTAATGCTAAATGCCAAAAGTAGCAAAACAGACTTTTAAGTAGCCATAACCACCCTTAACATAAAGTATTTTACCTACCGAAGTTATTCCCCTTGAGCCATTATATAGGATTAATATTGAAATTGTACTGACGGAATTATTATGGCATGGCTTGCTTCATTAATAATTTTTTTTTTTTTTTTTTTTACTTAGATTTTTACCAAGTTATTGTTATGCCCCCAGTAGTACGCGGAAACTCGGGAATCGGTGTAGGAAGGTACTTTAAGGAGGTCGTTTTTCAATTTTCTCAGGAGTTTTCTCATCAAACGTGAAAAACCGGGATAAAACACGGGAGAACCGGAAAAAACGTAGGAAAACTGGGAAAATGTGTACAACATTAAACAAATATTACCAAAGAAAATATATAGAGTTTATTTGATTATTTTACTACAATATAGCATATATATTGTTG